GACATTTTCATTTATAGTTATATTTGCAGTCTAAATTATTACATAGAAAGGCAGAATCATTTTTTGGCATGATTTCCTAGGTTTGAACAAGCATGCAATTGTATAAGAGAATTAAATCCCTTTGTTTTGTTTTTTAAGATTGCAGATGAAGAGTCGAAGAAAAGGACAAAACCTTTGCGAGTTAAAAAGCTTTATGTTTTGTCAGCCTTACTTATGGAACAGTGCCATGAACAAATGCAAAATGCACAAAGGGGAAAAGTTAAGGAGAAAAGTTCAGAGGTAGTGTCTTTTTTTTTTTTCCTTTCTGAATTCTGGTGTGTGCTACCTAGAATAAAGCAAGCTATCTTCATGGGAGGCTATAATGTTTTTCTAATAATCCTTTTTCTTGCTAAGAACAAAGCTTTCCTTAAAGCAAGTCTTCCATGAAAACCTATTAAGTATTATTTTAAAACATTTAAATCATATATATAAATAGATATTTTTCTTCCCAAGTTTAATGTGTTTTTCCTAATACTTTCACTGTAACAATGAAAATCATACTAAGAAACTCCAGACTTTTTTTTTTCCTGCAAGACTGTCATTTTCATGTCATTTAGGAGTAAGGATTGATCCCAAAGAGTGATCTCTGATTAGATTATCTTACCTTTAATTTAGCAGGAAGATGGCTCCAGATATGAGGGAAACAAATGGAAGCATTTTTTTTCTGCGCACACATTCATCTTCATATGCCCAAATGAAATAGTTTAGACAAAGTTTTAAGAGCTCTGGTGTTGAAATGCAGTATTAATCCAAAGTATGAACCAGTCTGCAGATGTGCACAAAATATATTTGTACACACGTATACAATATTTATCTTTGAAAATCTGCACCATATGTTGTGCCTGTGCTCTTTATAAAATGTCTGACAATGTTCACTTTATGTCCATTTATATTTCCCCTAGTTAACACAGACAGTGGTGTAATCACCAAGTAGAGAAAAGTTCTTTTCATGTATCCCCATTTCCTGCTGTATCTGTTTCATATAAAAATTACTTGTGATACTGCTTTGTTTTCAGAGTGCTTCAGCTTTGGCTGGTTTGCTGGAAGAAGATGTTCTTTCTTCAACTAATCGCTTTGCAGACAATGCTTGGCGAGGAGCTGAGGCTTACCATTTTTTCATACTTGCACAAAAACAGCTCTATAAAGGGTCTGCAGATGCAGCGCTTAAAACAGGTAGGACTTCATTTTTAACCCTGTAAAGAAGTTACAGAAACTGTTCTAATTGCACAGCACATAATTTCATTTATAGTTGGCACTTTTTTCTGTTCTTAATAGATCCATGGAATTTAAACCAAAAGCATATAATGAATTGATTATGGCTGCAGTCAATATGGCTGGAAAGGACTTTCCTGAAGACAATGCAAATCTTAACTTTCCAAGTATTACCTGATCAAATTGGTCAATTTCTGTAGCTATTCTGTTGACTGTTTGGTTTCTTTCCTTAAATTCTAAGGCACACCTGAATTCACATCGGACCTCCCAGTAGAGCTTCATAAAAAATCTGTGGCAGTTAAGAGAAGCAAGTAGTGCTTTATACTTTATCCAAGTAGTGAAGATCTATTTCAAAACCTTGTAACATCTTTAAAACAAAACAACCAACCAAAATGAAGTGTTTCAAAAAGTTTCCCAGTCAAATCCCCTAATTTTATTTATTTTTAAAAAGCAGTGCTTCATAGTCATGTCAGTGAAGAGACTTTGGTTCACTTTGTCCAATTTGTAGGATTAATACTGTGTCCTAGTAGCAAATATTTCATACCAGATGCTTGCAGTTCTCAGAAGACGTGTAATAATTTCCCTGGATTTCTTTTTTTCTTCTTTTTTAGCTCTTCATCTGAGAGATTATGAAGACATTATCCCTGCAGTTGAAATCTATTCCCTTTTGGCACTCTGTGCATGTGCAAACAGAGCATTTGATACTTGCTCAAAAGCATTTGTTAAACTAGAATCCTTGGAAACTCTTAGGCCAGAGCAGAGGCAACAGTATGAAGATCTTGCTCTAGAGATATTCACGAGATACAGTCCAAAGTATAACAAAAAGTCTGATCTGGATGATGTTCTTGAGAGGTGGGCTTATTTTTATATGATACTGTAATAATACTATCATTTTTTTCCTGCTGTTGGTCTGTATTTTGGGTTTTAGCAGATTTTGTGTGTGACCAAGTTAATTAAATGCTTTGCTGCTTAAACCAAATATTGGGCAAGAATCATGCAGGTGTCAGCCACTTTGCAGAAAGGGTAATACAGCACTCTGTTGTTTGGGAAAATAGACACTGACTGCGTTCAGGAACTGGGCATAAAGATGTAACTTCACCTTAATTTGAAATGCAGGTGGACAGAGCACAGGAGTTTTAGGACTTCTGATACTGTGTCACATGACATTACTATTTTAATGTTACTGTTTGCCTCACTGTTGTGGTGTGAAGCAAATATCCACAAGTGAATGTTTAACCGTTATTAACTAACAAGTCCTAGTGTTTTGTGAATTACCTAAATCTACATGGTGTGAGGATATGTCAAGTGAAAAGAATAGAGTAAGAAGGGCACATTTAAGGGGTAAGTCCTTGGAATGGCTATACCCACAACAGTGTCTTTGACATATGTTTCCTGCTAACAGCATGGAATTTGTGAGTACGAAAATTGACTGTGAGTCAATTTTCTTTTAGCAAATAGGATTTTAACATGTCTTGTTTGATCCTACTGTGCAGCTGTACAGAATCTCACTAACAGCTGTCAAGTTGACTCATCAGAGGAAGGAGCATAATAGTAGTGCAGGTGTCTAATCTGACCTTACCTTTATATGGCCTTCCCTTCACTCCATCTTTTGGATCTGCTGGTCCTGATTTGTTGACTGTATGGTTCTAGGGGTGGGCACTCTCTGGTGAGGATTTACATATTTGGCTATGTGAACAGTGAAGTGTTACATGATTTAATAACTTCTAATTAACAGTTGGCACACCATGTTTTAATTCTTTCAGCTTTATTTACTCTCTTTTTTTTTTTTTTTTTAAATAGTGGAGATGAGAAACTTCCTGTATGTGTTGCAACAGGAGACCCTATCCTGGAGTATCGATTCTGGATGTGCAGTGTATGTAAGCATTGTATGAAAGCCAGTGAAGCAGGCAATTATAAGTCCTGTCCTCTGTGCCACAGCACAGTATAGCTGAGGATAAAGGCCCATGTATCCTCATTTATGATGTACTATATTTTAAAATACAACTCAAGTACTGTATTGTAGCAGATAGTGCTGCTATTAGGGAAACATTAAAAAAAAAAAAACAAAACAGAAAACCCACAAGAAAAACCTTTACTGGTTCCATTTATGTGAATAAACAACCATGTTAATAGACTCCATTTTTGTTACACTTTTAAAAAAAGATTTAAGGTAAAAGCATTATTTTCTAATTGTAGATTGAGCGTAGTTTTAAAACCATGTGAGCTGAATGTAGGTTCATATTAGTATGTTTTACTCTGAGCAGGCTCCATTTTTTTTTCTCTGTAATTCCATAGGAGATTACTGGGTTTTCTCAGAATTCACAGTTTTGTGAAGGAAGTAATTCTAAGTTGAAATAATGCCACAATAGTTCTGATAATATTATTGTATACCTTTTTGTACTACTGTTTTACTAGAGTAATGATACCAGTATAGACATGTTTGTGCTGGTTTCTTTTGCCAAGTGTATTTAAACCCACCACAGCAATAAAGGGCTTGAAAACACTCAGCAGTCAGTGTTGTCTGTCTGTATCCAGGTTCCTGAGCTTGGCTGATGTGATCTTCAACAAGGAAACCTCCATGAACCTTCAAACTGAAATCTGGCAATTTTTTTCAAGTGGCTTGAGAGAGCAGCTGACATCTGTTGAACAGATATCAGGACCTGAATGGTCACCCTTGTTACAAAGGTCTAAGGAACGATGTCTTACTTAGAACTGCACTCTTCTATCTTACTGCTGGATTTGAGCCTCTGCTCTGGAAGTGCTGCAGGTCCCCACTGCACAGGGTGAGCTTTCCCCAGGACCAGCCACCATTTGGCTGTTTGGAAAAGAGCCATGAGCTGTGACATTCGTGCTGTGCGTTGGCACATTTCTGAGAGGAGAGTGTGACACCTCTTCTGCACTGTCTTTCAGGGCAAGTCATGTCTCTCACCTAAACTTAGGCCAGGAAAGGATAAACCCCATTTGCATAGAACCCTAGAGTTGTAGAACACTTGGGTTGGAAGGGACCTTAAAGATCATGTCGTTCCAAACCCTTTGCCATGGGCAGGGACATCTTCCACTAGAGCAGGCTGCTCAAAGTCCCATCCAACCTAGCCTTGAACACTTCCAGGGGTGAGGCAGCCACAGCTTCTCTGAGAAACCTGTTCAGTGCTTCACCACCCTCAGAGTAAAGAATTTCTTCCTTATGTCTAATCTAGACCTACCCTCCTTTAGATTAAAGCCATTCCCCTTTGTCCTGTCACTCTATGTCCTTGTAAAAGTCCCTCTCTGGTTCTCTTGTAGCCCCTTTAGGTACTGAAAGGTGCTATAAGGTCTCCCTGGAGCCTTCTGTTCTCCAGGCTGAACAGCCCCAGCTCTCTCAGCCTGTCTCCATAGGAGGGGTAATCCAGCTCTCCAGGCGTCTTCATGGCCTCCTCTGGACCCGCTCCAGCAGATCCGTGTCCTTCTTGTGCTGGAGGCCCCAGAGCTGGACACAGCCCTACAGGTGGGGTCTCATAAGAGTGGAGCAGAGGGGCAGAATCACCTCCCCGGGCTGGTCACAGCTCTTCGATGCAGCCCAAGATACATTTTGTATCCAAAACACTGAAATACTGTATTTTGTGTGTATGTGTATGTGCTCTGGTATTTGAGCTTCCAGTTCCATCCCGTTCATCCCTCCCCGGGCTGAGCCCGGTCCTGCAGCGGTGCCCGCGGGGGCAGCGGCCTCCGCCCGCCCTCCGCGGCTCCCCTTCCGTTCACGTCACGGGGCGATGGCGCAGGAGGCGGCCGAGTTGCTGGCGGCGGCGCGGGCCGAGCTGGCGGCGCGGCGGCTCTCGGCGGCCGAGGAGCTCTACAGCCGCTTCATCGCCCGCAGCCCCGCGGGGTAGGGCCGGGGCCGGGGCGTGGGGCGTGGGCGGCGGGCGGGTCCCCCGTAACTCCGCTCGCTCTGTGCCCGCAGCGCCCGCCGCGACCTCGCCACGGCCCTCAACGACCGCGGGCAGGTGCGGTACCTGCGCGTGGAGTTCGCCGCCGCCCTGCAGGATTACACGGCCGCCATCGAGTGCCAGCCCGGCTTCGAGGTGCCCTACTACAACCGGGGGCTGGTGCGCTACCGGCTGGGTACGACCCGGAGCAGGGCAGGGCAGGGCGGCCCGGGCGCGACCGCCGTGTCCCGGGCGGGGGCACCTGCCTGGCACAGGGGCGGAGGGCGGGTGTCACACCAGAGCCAGGCGGGACACGCTTTGTCAGGCAGTGACAGGACGTTCGGCTACGAGCCCGCCCCGTGTGTGCAGAGAGACCTCATCGCAGTCTACAACTTCCTCGTTAGAGGAAGAGGAGGGACAGAACTGCTCTATTCTCTGTGGTGACCAGTGACAGGACCCGAGGGAATGGCCTGAAGTTGTGTCAGGGGAGGTTTAGATATTAGGAGAAGGTTCTTCACCCAGAGGGTGATTCAGTATCGGAACAGGCTCCCCAAGGCAATGGTTACAAAACCAAGCCTGTCAGAGTTCAAGGAGCATTTGGAGAACACTCTCAGGCACAATGTGTGATTCTTGGGGATGGTTCTCTGCAGGGCCAGGGGTTGGACTCTCTGATCCTTGTGGGTCCCTTCCAACTCAGCACATTCTGTGATTCTAGGTGTGCTGCTGTGTCACTGGAAATTATGCTATTCAGTGAAAAATAGGGGGAAAGGTGCAGTTTCAGTTCTGGAAGAGTCTGCATTGGGGTAAAAGAAGCCAGTTCCAAGCAGTGCCATTAAACCTGAGATAAAGCATCTTCCGAGCAGGTGTAGCTCCAGAGAGCAGAGTCTTCTCAACTTCCAGTTGGCTGCCAGACACTTTTGGGGAATTTCTTGCCCAAGTTTTGACTATGCTGTAAGAAGATGACACCCCTGTGCCTTTTGTTGGAGCTTGGCTGTTGCAAAGTCCAGACACAGAAGGTGAGGGACTTAAGTGAGCACTAGGAGAATGGAGCCAGACCACAGGCATCATCTGGGAAGCTGTATGCCAGTGTGCCAGGTGTAAAACAGCCTGACTGTTGGCATGGGCCTTTTGGCTCCTCTCCTGAATTAATAATGTGGCTGAATTGAGCATCAAGTCTGGTTTAGGTTCAAAAATACACACTGGTTCTTGCTCTGAAGCCCTTTGACTCCCACTTGGGCCTCTGGAGAATCCAAATGTAATGGGTCCAGTAAGTCCAGCTGCTGTTTTTTATTAGTGAAAGTACTAGGAGGTGTTCTTCAGTTGTGGTTTGAAAGATAATTATTTTCTTTCTTTCTTTCTTTCTTCCTTTTTTTTTTTTTTTTTTTTTGAGACAGGAGACTTTGATGAGGCCATGCAAGATTTCAGGAAAGTATTAGAGTTAAACCCCCAGTTTGAAGATGCTGCATTGAGTCTAAAACAGACTATTCTTGATAAAGAAGAAAAACAGAAGCGGGGATATTGAAAATAGAGCTAGTGGTGTGAAAATGTTCTGCTAAACATGTGATTTTTGTCACTGATGGATGAAACACGAGATCGTTTACATCTGTTATGACCTACTGAAGAAACCTCATTCTTGGATAAACAAGTTAAAAATGGATATGTTTGCAGAATAAACTGTGTTTGGTTAGTGTTGAGGATAGGTATAATGTTGGATCTCTGTGAGGTACGAGTACAGATTTTGTACAGAAATACCTTGTAAAGATTTTGGAAGCTCAGTAGCAGCAAATGAAGCCTGTAGTTCTCTTACTAAAACTTCTTTATTTATTCACAGATTGTTTTAAACAGTCTTTCACGGGGAGGAAAAATCAAACTGTACAAAACATTTAAATACTTATGATTGGAGCTTGTGAGCAATGCAATAATGATAGTGTTTGTCCACATAGAAATGTTACATTTTATTTAATTCTAAAGTGCAGTTGTTCTTTGTAAGGTGTTGTCCTTTAGGTTCTCTATGGTATCTGAATTTCTTTTTCATTTCAGAGTGTTTCTGTCTTAAGAAACACTTAACAGAAGTAATGAGATCTTTTTAGGTAACACCATCTGTACCTTGCTCAAGGAATGTGGTAGGAGAAATTCAGTCCTTTGTTCGTTCATTCACTCCTGGGGTTAGTTTTACGTTACCTAAACAGGTAGGAACAGAGCACACCTCTTTTTTGTAATCCTATTGTAAAAGTTTTGGCCAGATTAATAATTGAAAGAATAAAAATGAACATGTACTTTTCATCTTATGATTGTCTGCAAAAAGCTTTTCTTAGAAAATATTCACAGGAGGAATTGTGGCTTTCTCATTCTTACTGAAGAGATCAATTACCTGAAAAATGCAGTGTTAAATCAGTCTGATGAAACTGGCTGTCAGTACCCAGGCCACCTCATTTCTCATGTGGTAGGAGGGACCATTACTGAAATCATCAGCAAGAAACACTCTTGCATGTTCATAGCAATACAAGTTCTAATAAAAGAAATACTCTCTTGATTGCCCACGTAAGCATTAGGATTTTTTTTTTAAAATAAAATTATACCAGTGCCAGTTCTGCTGCTTGTGGCGAGTTCCTCTGTGGATGACCCCGAGCCTGCACAAGCACAGGGCTCACTGAAGATCATGGGACCCTCTGGGTGAGTCAGTCTGGAGCCTGTGGACATCCTTCACAACAGCCTCACCAAGATCACTTCCAGCCTTGATATGACACTGCAACAGCTACAATGAGCAAATTTGAAACACAGGGATGAGAAAATGCTACATTTACCTCTCATGCTCCCGACAATTGACTGCAGCAATTTGAAGTTACATAAATACAACGCATGATAGCAGGATGTGACCATTTACAGTTTGGAAAGTAAGCAGTGGCCATTTTTTTCTCCCTACAAAGTCTTAATTTTGGACTTTTCTGCATATATTAAGCACATGCATTGCTACCACTTATCTTAGACCTCTGTCTCCAAAAAACCACAAATAATTTACTGACTTGGCCCACTTCATGCCACCTCAGTATTAAAAAGTGAGAAGTCATACCAACTCTTGGTTGATGGTAAGTGGATGAGCTAGAACTAAACATATTCTTGACTGACCATGCCAAGAAAATTAAAAAGAACAGTTGAATATGACCTATGAAGTTTTACTGTGAGAGGAGAGATCACAGATGTGGTTCTGCACAAAACTCTTTAAATGACAGGATACAGATAAAAATCAAAACAGTGAATAAGTATTTTAGAAAACAAAGATGCTAGAGATAATATTCCAGCTTGTGGTGTTTTGTGAATATTTCTTAATTACTTCTTGTGCAGTCATTGGCACAGAAATATTGCACTGGGCTGGGAGTAATTCTATTGCTGGGAGCAGTTCTATCTTACAGTATTTCCTTGTCTCTCCTATGAAAGGACAAAACTGTCATCGTGCATTTCAGCATAATTTGGAATTCTTTCAAAGTAGTTTTGGCCAGTAGGGTTTTCACAATTTCCCCTTTCATGTGCACACGAGTCACTTAGTTCTCTGGCTTTACATCACAATACTAATTTGGGTTTTCAGTCTGAAATTATTAAATAGTATGTGGTGTTCTTTCACTCAGGCCTGTTGAGAGGGTATTAACCATCATTACTCATATCAAAAAAACCTAAAACTTGAAGAGGAGGATGTATATTGTAACTCCCCTTGTCCTGCAAAGTTTCCTGTCTGTAATAGTTTAAGATTTACAAATCTAATGGAGAGTAATAAAATTCTTTTTATGTAATGTATTGTGAAATTTGTGCAACCTCTCAGCCTGTAAAAGGAGTAGGGTTGTGTGCTTTGGATGTTTCACAATGTGGACGTGCTGTGGGTTTATACCTCCACAGGGCTTTAGGTGTTGCCTCCGCCTGAGAATTCCACACCCCTGTGGAGCGCCAGGGTCGGTCCCATCCCCTCCACCACCCTTGTGAAGCCTTTGCTGGTCAAAGTTGTGTGGCTGCACCAGTATCTCAAACAGATGGTTACTGCAAGTGTACACTGACTCTCTTTACTCCAGCTAGAAATGTTTCAGACATGAAACATTAAAAATTCTTTACTTTCCCAAGGTTTCCTACCTATAAACCTACTCCTCCAAAGCCCTTGACCCTTTCCTTCACACAGCCGTCACTGGCAGCCCCTCCATTTGTTTTGTTCCCTATAGTTCGGGCTAATTTGGCAATGAGTAACTGTTCCCACCTGGTGATTTACCTCTAAACTTACAAAAAATACATTATTTCCTTAATACATTGCAGAATGACGAAGAATAACATCACTGCCTTACAGGACAAGGCAAAGAGTAACATCTTCACTCTGTGCTTTTCCCTAGGACTTTATTTCTCTTACTGAAACACTTCTTGTCATGCAGCTTGCAGTGTTCCAAGGCCTTTCCCTTGCTTTTGCAGAAAGGTAGGAAAAAGCTGACAGAATCGCAGGTTAGCAGGGCACAGAGCAGCATGAGAAGTGTTTCATATAGGTTTGGTGTGAGATGTGGCGTAGGGAACAAGGAGAGCCTTTCCAAAGGGAAAGCTGTGGCATGATGAGGGCAAAGGGCTGGGTCACCAAGCGGCCAGAATATATTCCTCTTCCACATGCCTTCCGAGTGACCAACCAAGGCAAGTCAGCATTAAAAGCCTGTAACTCTTTGACTGTTACAACTGAGGACTATAGTGCACTGCCCTGTTCAGTAGGTGACCTGGTAAAAAGTGACTGCAGTGAAAGGTGCACTATTCAAATTTTGTGGGGGATGAACGCCTATGAATCAAACAGCTCTGCAGGTTGTGCTCTCTGTTGTCTGCCACAAGGGGAAGGATTCAGAAAGGCACCCTTGCTAAGAGAAGGATAATATCCAATATTCTTTTATGTTAGCAGATTACTGTGGATCTGCTGCATCCTTTTAATAAAGGCAGAGGCTGGACCATAAAACAGATTCAACCTCAGCCAGTGGCTCTCATGGATAATGGAAAGTCTATCTGCTTTTTTTTTTAAAAAAAAAAAAGAGATCTGGTCAAGGTGGAAGCCCCACCTATCAGCATATTGTGATCATTTGAGTAGAACTCTAGTCTGTTTCTGAAGATTGTTTCCTAGATTTTACCTGTAGGATCCCTTTAGTCTATAAGCCCAGAGAGATTGGATGCAGTCCAAAGCATTGCTTCCTACAGCTCATGATGATCAGACTTTTCATCATTCACATCTTTGTGTTGTATGATGAACGTGTGAAATGGACCTGAAGGATATCCTTGTCTCCCAGCAAGGAATATTTGCAATCTAGGACAGGAGCTAGGTGCTGAAATTCTATCTGCAGTATCTGAGAAGAGGGAGTACTCCCAGAAAAACCTTGCTGCAGAGCAATACACCTGTACAACAGCATGGCTGAGCCATAGCTTGGGAAAGACACTATTTACCTTTGAGGTAAACAGTGAATTTCTAACTCTAACACACTGCGATTTAGTGTGAAAAACATCATCTACCTTGACAGCAGCCAAGGCGGGAGGAAGAGACCAAGAATGTGGAATTGCTCTGGCTTGTCTGTGCAAAGTTGGAAACCCGAAATGCCTGTTGAAATGGAAATACAGGTCTGTCTCCCCTTCTCCCTCTCTCTTTCAACATATCTGCAGGAGAAAGATCTCCTCATCCGTCAGATGGTGGAGGAATGGGTATGGAATGCTGCTGGACCCCTTCCTCGCTTTCCAGGGCAAAAGGGGAAGATCTGGGATATCCCACGTGCTGCAGACAGGTTTACCCAAATCTACTCTGCAAGGCTGCAGAGCAAGTGAACTTTAGTGATGCCACACCAGACCTGTCGCTTGTCTGCGTGGAACTAGGCAGTGTTCTGAGAGAAAAGAAGGGCTAGCACTTAGTCATTATTATTTTCCCTTCATTCCAGTTTAAAAATTTCTAAAGGACTGCATTTTAGATTAACAGAAAGTTATCCTAAACCGATGAGTTTGTTACTGTTATTAAAAATAGGGAATGTGCTCTCCTGGCAAATGCTGGGAGCAGTAACTTGCTGGGCTCTGCAGTGTTGGCTGTGGACAGCAGAGTGCACTGCTCGTACAGCAGAGGAAGGCAGCACCCAGGCGGCTGCTGAGGGGTCTTGGGGTCTTGGCAGTGGCCACAGGAGCTGGGCAAACCCACTGGAGACTGCACAGGTGTGTGCTATCAGCTGGTATCGGCATCAGTGCACTTACCCCCTCTTCACTGCTGTTAAACAGCTACACGTGTTGCAGCCACTCCTGCAGTTACAGTGCAGGCACATCCTGAGAGGTGGTCGTGGGTCAGGTTTGTACTTGATCTCTAAAAAATAATGATGAAGAAGAAAGGCTTTCTGTGTGTACAGAAAACAAAATGCCAGGTAAGTTGTCCTTTTTGCTCATACTAAAGCATCTATCTACTCCCATATTGTAGAGTTAGCCTTTTCCATACAGGGGCAGGTAGGAGGAAAATGAGGAACTAACAGGTTTCCAAGATTCTCAGGTATATGTAATGATACAGACAGAAATCTGTATTAATGAGAAAAAAAAGCATTGTGTTGCATGTGGAAGCAGCAGGTTGATTGGCTCTTTGAAACCAGTGTTGATACACCAGATGGTTGCTGTTGCACATTAGCAAGAAGATGTTCTGTGCTTACATTGCTCTGATGTATTTTTATTTGACTTTTCAGATTTGCACTTTACATTCAGATGTGAGGATTGGCAGTCACTTTATGAAATATTACAAGAAGCAGCTGTAATCAGGGCTGGAATATTTTTATTGATCTGCAAGTCCACATTTCAACAGCTGGAAGAAACAAGAAATATTATTATGCTGCCTTGGGTCATTTTCTGATAAGTTGTCTTCTGTAGCCCCTTTAGAGAGGCTGTCCCACAATTGGGTCACTCCAGGCAAGATAGTTCTGGTGGTCGCTGAAGAGGTAGCTCCTGTGTCCAGTGGCACTGTTTGGAAAGCAACCAGCACAGCAGAGCCTTCAGGTGCTGTAGAAGGGACAGAGAAGGAAGTGAGGAGTGGTGCTGGAGCACACAGCTGACCAGCTCTGGATCTCCACGGGTAGATGAAACTATAATGTAAACCCTAACTGTTTGGAGGATTTGGGCCGTTCAAAAGAATTTGGAATATGGCAGTGACTTGTGCCTTGGTGTTTGATTCTAAAATTTTGGATCCATTTTCTTGCAGACTAGGGGCAGTCCTGTTGAAAACCTGTTGAAATAATACCTGGCTCCAAAAGTCCCTGCTGTGGCCCAACTCCAACATGCCCTGCTCTGCTGCTGGCATCTGCTCCAGAGCCACACCACCTGTGTTTGGCTTGGCAGGTAGCTCTCCTTTTTTCCTCTCTTACAGGCTCAAGCTTATACCTGGAAACTGCAAAATATGCCCATTCCCTAGTTCTTGTTCCAGATCTTTTATTTCTGAGGTCTTGAAGGACAGGCTATGCATCGCTTGTGTCACAAAGCATGGTAACATCTCTAGGTGAGTACACAGAGCCTGGTCTTCTTACCAAATT